GAAGGAGAGACTAAGGTAAAATACCTGAGTGGTGCATGTGGATAGCTACTTGTGTCACTGTTAGGAATAAGACAGTCACACAGGATCTAGAGAAGGAAAAGGCAATATTTAAAGTTATGGAATGAGAGTGTTTACATTTAGATGAACTTTAGGAAGAGGTTACAGATTCATACAGTACTCAGGAGGATAAATCCTCACTGGAGGATAGTAGAACATTACTGACATGGATGGTACTGTTTACAAGACACAGAAGTCTCACAGTTAGGGGTTCATTTGAGAGAACTACAAGTCACATATACAGTGCCTAACAGAACACACAAGAATATGTACTGAAATCCATTAGAAGGGAACATCAGAAAGGGTATCCTAACACCACTTCTCAGAAATCATCTGTTCCATATCTACCCATGTATTTGAAAGACTGAATTCTGTAGCTGTTAAAGCTGGCCTATGTGTGACACTCTGCACGAAGCAGGCTCAAAACCTGAATCCACTCAGCAGGGGATTTCTCCTCTGAGAGGGAATCCTTTTGTAGCATAAGGCAATTGCAGCTGTTCTTTCTTCAGCTCCTGCTATAGGAAATGCAGCTGGAAAAGTTAGCAAGGCCTGGACAGCAACAAGTCCTCTGTTCCCAGCTTCTGGAATAATGGGTCAGCCACTCTTATATAACTTTTAGAAAAAGATATGAACCGACAAATTTTGCTTGAACAAATTTATTACAGTTTGCCACAAAAAATCTGATAAATTAGTGTGTTCACTGCACTCCTACCTTGTTTCCAACTCTATTTCCATCCACATTCAGTGCTTAATTACATTTGAAAAAACAAGTCTTGTATGATGCAAGTCTTCCAGGAATTTGGTGTTTCCAATTAATTCAGAGCCTTGCTAATCTGCTCACTGTTCCAGGGGCTGGCACAGAGCTCTTTGCTCAACTACCACTTGAGATGCATATGCCAAGATCTTCTGCAGAAGAGAAGCAGAACATGATTTAAATCCGTGGTTTTCTTCTAAAATTGGAAAATTAATTTCAAGCCCTGTAGATAAGCATTTGTAGCAATAAAGAGGAGCCATGTTATCTTAGGCTAAATGACACAGTAAACAAAAAGGCTTGCCCTATTCCTATTAATTAGTTAAAGTGATAGGAGATTTTGGTAATGTTTTTAAAGATGCAGTTAAGCAACAGGGAACACACTGCAGTCTTCTGTACTCCTTGTCTCATGCCTATCACTTAAATATGAACATTCAACACCTCCCCTTAATCAAATCTGGTTGTGAGGCTTTGCTCAGTTTGAGTTTTCTCCATAATTTTTACTTGGACACAACTGCTTTGGAAGTACTGGAGTAGTCAGACACCAATTCAAGAGCACTTGAGAAGAAGGGCCTCATGTCTCATTAAAGTCAACAGATCTAAGCACATGGGCTGCTGCAGCTTTGCTTATCAGCATTCAGTCAAGCAACTATACAAGTAATGCATTTAGGCACATCAGAGTTCTTCCTGCATCAATCTAGTCATGCTTCTGGAACACTCAACTGGAAGTCTAGCAAAATTATCCTCAGACAGCTAAATTAGATTTTTCAGAACTCTAAGAGTCTGCAAATTGGGACTGCTGGTTTCCATCCATCTATCTTAGACAAGTCTCTTAAGTAATAATTTTCCTTCTCCTTGCTTCTTGTACATTGCCTGCATTGAAGAAAAGGCCCAGTGCAGCACTCTTTCAAGAGCACAGGCAAAACAGGACAAGATACATAAGACCAAAAAACTCAGGAATCTCACTTTTTAAACAGTGTTTTCGGCTAAGAAAACTCTAGCCATTATTGTATTAGCCATTCTTGACTTAATCAGCCTTTCCTTGGTGGCTATGAAAGTTGTGTTCCAGCAGATTTAAGATAACACATGGGGAAAATAGAACAAATTCACTCGTAAAGGAACTCCACTTGTGTGTGAGATTATTCTAGGTGTGAATTAGCCTAAGTAGTTTATCTCCAAGCAATTTTCAAACTCCTGTGCCAACTAACCCTTGGCCAAAAGCAGAAAACTCACTGCCAAATCTTACCTTAGAGTTCAGCACAATGCTGCATCTTGAAAACCCATTCTGGGAGAAGGGCTGGGCTTGGAGGTGATAAACAGGATAGGAGAGTTCAATGCTATGTGGCCGCTCCTCAGAGTTCCTTCCAAAAATAAACTACTACACCCTTTAAAACAAAACGTTGACCATGCAAGACATTAAAGCCCTCGGCTCAAGCACTCTTTGTACACAGCAGGAGGAGATGTTATCAGAAGTAGCCAAGCCAACAGAAACAACTGTTAAAGCAAAATCCTTTTGTGACTGGTCCATTGTTTCTGAACACCCAGCAAGAAGCAAAGGGTGTCCCTCACTGGGATGGAACAAGCCTGTGTAACAGCAAGAAGCTTTGCAAATATCATTAGCTACTATTCAAAACAGCAAGACAGTAGAAAAACAATGTGAGGGCTTACATATGCTTTATCACTTCTTTGCACTCCCCACGAACAACTGTCCCAAACAATAAAAGGGCAGGAGGTTGCTGTCTAGTGAATGGAAAGGATATTGCAAGGCAGGACCTCCTGAAGCCAGGCTCAGAGTTAAGTGCAAGCTGCTGCAAAATGTGCAGCAGGAACCTGCAGTCAGACTGAAGTTTAGGCTTCACTACTGCACCAGGGAGCGAGGACATGCAGGGACATTTATCATGCCTTGCACAGATAATCTGAGTTTGGAGTAGCACTGCCTCTCTATGCATCTGAGCACAGACACACTCTGGCCTATACAGGTGCATTAATACAGTGTCCAAAGCTATCCGTGACATTTGGAGATTAATGTTTCCTCACTGGGGTTCCAGAGATATACAAGTGTCAGATTTGGTGACTGGCACATCATCCACAGAACAACCCTCATTGAAAGCATATGAAAAAGTCACACAGAGGACAAACAACAAGCTATGTCGTTATAGCTGCTACAGCCAGAGCAACATATAAAACAAGAGAAGTAGCTGGTAGGAGAAGTAAGAAGATACAAGATAGAGCAGTCCCACCCGAAGATGTGCTGCCAATATTTTAAAATAACAGTTCCCAGAAGCGTTTCCCTGTCATGTGATGGATCCCACACAGGGGGAGTGGCTGTGCTACAGAGGGAAGTGCTGGGTGGGTCGAGGAATCTGTTTGCTCTTCTCTTGTTTTCCACATTTAAACAACGTTTTTATAAACAGAACCAAGGAGGGAGGTGGCTCCGCTTGGCAGACAGGCTTCTTCTGAGAAAATTTGCTAAAAGTGATTATTCTCTGCTCCTGAAAGCTGTTCTGAGCATACTCAATAGCTGTGCATAGAGCTCAACAGGTACAATCCAAAGTAGTTCTGAAAGGTTTTTTCAGGGAATTAGATTGATCCTTCCCTCAGTATTCCTCCTTCAGCCTTCCAAAAGTAACTGCTCTTCCAGTGTAAGAAGATGCGTTTTAAAAGTAACTTCATTTTACTCCCAAACTTGCTTGCATGAACCTCAACCAGGGTTGTATGACTAATAACCAGAAAATGTAATTTGGCATGAAAAAATCACTTTCCTCTTCAACAAGGGCTGGTTCCTGAAATTCCAGTGACCATCCTCCCAACACACAGTTGTCCCAAACCTTACAGACTGACACTGATATACTGAGTTTGATAAATATGCTTCAGATTCTTTCCCTATAATCCCCCTCCTTTTAGGCATTCACTTGTTTTCTGACTACTTTTCAGATTCTCAGAAATAGAAGAGATGTAAAAAATACTGCAGTGCAGCAAGGCTCACTCCTGTTCTCACTAGGAGATGCAGTGTAGGAGGAACTTGCTCTTAAATCACCTGTTTCAGTCCTCTTCCCCCACACACATATAGATGATGCTTAATTATATCTGACACGTATTTCTGCTGCAGGGATTGCTTTATGTATTTCAGTCACCTAATGCTAAAAAAGCCCAATCTTATTTTAGTCCCAGACCAGGTTCTCAAAAATCAGAGCTAGTTCATTTTATGCTCAGTAAGAGAGAGACCTTATATACATCTGTCTTTTCATAATCAATAACCAGGTGTCAAATTATCCTCTGGGGAAGAGGCCTAGGAAGGCTGAGAGACTGAGGCATTACAAAGCTGCTTACTTCAAGGCCACTCATGATTTATGCACTATATGATTAGCCAGAATCAGCCTCTAGGGTTAAGCTTGCAGATACTAGTATGCAATAGACAGAAATAGTAAGTGACCTAATCAAGTATTTTGCTACTTAATACATAGCTTAATTAAGATATTATAATATTCTGGAAGTAAAATAAGGTCCATGCCCTGTAAGAGATTTCTTGTAATATGAGAAAATCACATTTGTGTAGCTTTAGAGTAATTAATGAGAGGAAACTGGCATTAGAAAATAAATAAATAAGTACCAGAAACATGCAGGAATATTGGCAAAGAAATACAGAGGCCCATCAGCAAATCAAAGCAGCACTGTGATCTGGGCTGAAAATAGTTCCACAAGTAAATTTAGCATCTTTGGTACATTAACAAATCCATGTGCATGGCACGTAGAGAATAGCACACACGGCTGAAGATGCTGAAAGTAAGGGTAAGGAAAACAGTCTGTGTCACCATCAGGTATTTAAAAGAGTCAGGTTCTTCACTCAAGGGTGAAACAAAGGTAATCTTACTTCAGAGAAGACAAGACAAAAGTGGATTTGTGCTCCATTCAGGACAGAATTCATGGTGGTCAAAACATAGTGACAACAGTCAGAGTCTTACTTCCAGTAGCCTAAATGTAATCTCCTGTTTCCAAAGGCTGAACTTGTCAAAAGGCCTGAATGAGGGTGAGAGTCAGACCCCACTGCTTGAGAAGGCCAGAAGTCAGTTCTACATCCTTATCAGAGGGTTCAGCCTGCTCCCACTGGAGCCAGAAAAAGGAAACCTATTACTATAACACATTGCATCCTCTCCACAGTGCATGTCGAAATGGAACTACAGTGCAGTCTGAGGTTGGCACTGAGTTTGCCTTGCCTAGACAGCTTCCCCCCATGCAAGGGCTTACATCAGGCCATGACATTCCTCATTTTAGGACTCTGATCCTTCTGATCAGTTGTTTGGTTACAAATCACTATTGACAGCTGGCAGCCAAGACTCCCAGGGTGCACGTAAGTCACACAAAAACATTAAACAGTCCCCCAAAGGTATATGACATTCCTCTACATTCCTCAAACAGTAGAACATCTATACCTGCAGGGGTCACAGGCTAGGTAGCTAGGGACAAACAATACAGCTGAATGCAGTTCTCCATGGCTAACATCAACTTAGGTATACAAAAAAATGACCAGAGCCAAGTCACAACATTGCTTTGGTATACCATGATCCAATATTTACTCTTTCAAGGATTCTCCTTTCTCCACTCCCTTAATGCTGGTAGTACCACTGGTTTCCAGGGGTCAGTGTTCCATGACTGGAACACAAGAACATGCACTTCCTGTAAGAAAGAGGAAGACAATAATGAACTATTGGAAAACTTCAGAGGGAAAGCCAGTCTTGATATACACATTTTGCAATTATTCACTTATCCACAGCATTAACAGTTCACCATCATTTCTAGCTTACATTTGCCAACTTCCATTTACCACAATTATCTCTTTGTGCTTTAATCTGAGTCACCTAGGTTGCTTTTCCTTTGTGAGATATTTCACTATGCTAACTTTAGCTAAAACCATGAACCCCAAGCATATTTCATTATGCAAATTGCATCAGATTTCAGAGCCTTACTGAGAAAGTCATGTTTGGTTCATTGTATTTGTAATACAATTGCTAGGAAGCCCAACAGATAACTGAGAAGCAACTGTGGGGGTTTTTTATCGGGGTAAATTCAGCTGCACGAACAAGATAGAAACGAAGTTCTGGCTTATTTCAGAGGCTGCACCTTCATAATTCCCCCTGAAGGATATTGAATGGCTAAAACCAGGACAAATTCAGTTTTGATAAGAGCATTAGATTAGAAAACATTACTGACTCCGTAACCCATGCACAGTGTAGTGTTATAGTTGTGAGGTGGTTTTTTTTAATACAGTGACCTTGTCTAGTCATCATTTACCCTTCAAACTTTCTACTTAAGCTTTTGAATTATTGGTTATATCTTCATCATACCAGTAAGAGGCTTTCATTTGGTTTGCATTTTTCTTTAAATTAATCAGCATGGTCAACTTTGAAGCTTCACCCAAAGTGCAGTTTAACACAGTTATATATGACTTGCCAGGTCTTAATAACACAGTGAAGGTGAAATGTTTAAGTCAATTTTCTTCCTGAGAGGAAGATTTTGAGTACATGGTGATTATCATGGCTCACTAGACAAAAAGGAAACTGATCATCTAAGTTGCTTTGTATTTAGGATTTTACTCTTGAACTGTTTTTCAATATTTCAAATGCTCAGAAACACATATAACAGGCAAGGGAATTGCTGTTTGAATCATTACAAAAGGCATGAAAAGTTTTCATCTTTTGTACTGTGTGATTTCTACAAGACCCCAGTGAAACATTCACATCTGTAGGGCTGCCTGAACATATTTTGTAAATAAAAGGTATGATAAAAAATGGCCATCATTTTACCTTTATTACAGAACATGATGTAGTGACTAGGGGCACTGAGCCAGTCTGAGAGGCATATTGTGGATACCCAGGCCAATCTCAGCGTTATCAGCATCTCAGCATTACCTCACATTAGATATTAAGGGTAGGAGTAAGCATGTTCATGTAGTCACGTATTTTTAAAATATGCATTTTAAATGTTCCCTGAATCTGGTAGGCCTTAAGCAAGTATTCCCTACAGAGAATATTCTGATAGTTGTTCCATGCATTCATGTTACTAGGCAACATACCTATCATCCTACACAGCTGGCCATACTTGTCCAAGATCATGCAAAGAAGGATGACATTGCAAAACCATAAGCAGAGCTGGATCAATACACTTTGAAGATGCTGGAGCAATGCAACAACATGACTGTGAAAGTGTTCTGTGGCTGCCAGTTTGTGTGTATTAGGTAGCACTACAGGAAGCATATGGACTTTCTAGTCTCCCATATAAATTCTTCTGTTGAACTTACACCTACTTGTGCAAGAAAGACTGAATTTTTTATAGGATGTCTCTTGTGAAATAATTTTTGCTTCTGCAGTTGAGCACATGACTCTGTTTTTAGGCTTCCTATTCATAGCTGCAAAAAGTTGTTAACAAATGACATTCAGGGAATCTCAATGAAGCAGGTAAGAAAGATTTGTCTTAGAACTTCTACATCACTCTTGGGCACAGATATTTTATGACCAGGTAAATAACAGACATCTGGGCTCCTTAGTATTCAGCTTTAGAGAAAATAAGGTCTATTCTTAAATTTGAGAAGCAACATCATAAGACAAAGTAGCAGCAAACCTGTAATGTTACTGTTACAAGGTGATTTATGTTAAAAGCATGGACAGAACCAAGAGAGTTAATAATAAATTGTACTAAGTATAGAGAATGCAATGATCACAGCAGATCCAAACCCCTTTATGTCTGCAACACGTCTCAACCTGATGTTGCACACCTGCCTTTAGCTATAGCATTTGAAACATTTTCGTACTGAAGTCTCAGAATTAGACCCTATACTCATTATTCTATAAATGACCCTGTTGAATTCAGAGAACTTTTCCTGAAAGCACAGCCAACCACATAGGAAACACTAACAGAGTAAAAATCAATCTATCTGCAAAACTTGTTTTAATACTGATTTTTAACTGTGTTTTTCTACAGTCATGATTCTAAAAGATTTTGCAGAACAATTACATAATTGCTCATGAAAACAGAAATCTTCAACATTTTCCTTTTTTTTTTTTGAAAAATATTTGAATTCAGACTTTGAATTCAGAATTATGCTCTGTAGTCATTGTTTGAACTCCTAAAAGCATGAATAAATTGACAGGCTTATGCCAGTTATCTCGAGGCTGTTTTACACAAACACCCACCATCCATGTTCATTCCCCTGTACTTCATGGTATTTGTGGCTCACTGCATGACTCAAATCACAGTCACCACACAAAATCATGCACAAGTACTGGTGCAAGCACTTCTTTCAAAGATTTTAGTCTTCTCTTTCTAGGAATGTTCTTGTAAGCAAAAGTTTGCATTGACAAATACTAACAGAAAATGGTAGGATTCAGGGGTTGTCAGGTGGGTTGGTTGGTTGGTTGGTTGGTTGGTTGGTTGGTTGGTTGGTTGGTGGGGGGGGATTTGCAGTTGTTTTCCAGCCTTTATTCTTGTGGAAGAAAAGGCTGTAGCATTTTCCTATTTCTGCCATACATATGTTTATGTCCTACATCAACATAGCTATTATCAGATGCCCAAGTGCAAGCTGTAAGTCAGCCAGGCTGCTTCAAAGCCTAAACTGGCAATCAGTGCAACTCTTTTGTCTCAGCTGAGGGATAACTAACACCAGCTGAGGATCTGGACCTTTACATGCTGTCAAAAGAGGAGGGCTGTAGAAATCCACAGAATCAGGTTTTGTGTACATATCCTGCCATTCTTTATCTCTAATTTTCCATTGGCCTGTTTCATTTTTTTATGAAATGTCACTCCAATTATATTTGGTTTTGCAGTTATATAATTCTCCACACCCTCCCCCAACCCTGATTCCACTACTGCTGAAAATTCAACTCTAAATAGACTCGATAAACTCTAGAAACAATTCTCTAGCTTTCAGGTACGAAGGAATTACATTCCCTTCGATTGCATGGTAACTAGCTGCCTGTCAAATGAACAGCTTGAAACAAACAAACAAACCCCAACTGCAGACAAATAAAGGTTTTTGAATCTTCTGCTGTCGATACAGCAGCACTGTATCACAACAACAGTAACTAGTCCAGACTCGCTAACTGCAGCAGCTGAAGTGCTCACTGTTATTGCTATGCAGATTATCAGATCCATGAAAATAGTAAAATACAGTGCAAACTGCATGTCTTCTGCAAGGCTCTGTGAAGAATCAAAGACTCAACAGCATCAACTATTTATATAGCACAGCCCATTTTTTTCCTTTTGGATTCATGTTCCAGATGAACCTATGGCCACAAAAAAGACTGATCTCTGTCCACTATATCCATTAACTACAGATTTAATGACTTTTAAAAGGATTGTTATTTTACACTTTTGTAAAGACTGTGCTATAACTGCATTCATTTTAGAAGGCCCTTTAAATGCACAAATAAATTTTCAAATTTTCACACCTAGCCAACTAACATTATTAATCCATGAATTTCAGAGAAATAGGAAATAAGACACATTGGATCAAGATTAAAATTCCACATGGTATTCAGAAGGGCTGAAAAACTAAGTTCTAGATTGAAGAGAAGTGGCAACTACTTTATGCCAAATTCATCACTAGATTAAACAGATGTAATTTCCAAAGTTATGCCAGGTTACAACCACTTCTTATGAGAACATGACCTTTTAGATGGCACGTACCAGTTATGTTTTTATAATACTCCAGTCTCAGTTTCCACTAAGAGGTAAGAAAAGCCAAAATTGCAGGGCCCTTATAACAACACTCCTATAAGAAGAACAGATTGAAAATGGCAGCAAGATGCTAGATCTTCCAGGATGTAAAAGTGCTGAAAATGGAGTAATCAGAGTTTGGCTGAAGAATCACGGTGCACAAGACAGTTCTGTTTCAAATACGATTCTTCATTGATTAATAGCAATGAGCATATGTGTCACATTTTGCTCAAGCAGAAAGCATTGAGAACTTGTAAATAAATGCTAAATAGCAGGATCAAAGTTAGAGGGATTTAGTTAGCAATTACTACCCAGAGGCCTCAATAATTCTTGGATGCCTCATCCAGATATCTAGGTATCCAGAGACTTAAAGTGTAAGTAAACCAGTAAGTCAACAATGTAGATTTTTCTATTAATCTAAAGGGGCTTTAAAAGCTATCTGGAGTAGCCAGGCCTGGCTGTCCTACCATCATTTAAAGATTTTTGTGGTCTCTTGTCATGCCAAGTCTCAGCTTTCTCCAGGACAAAAGTGCTGAATATAATGTTGAACAAGGTTATGGCTAAGGATGTCTGTGGTTTGATTTTTAGTGCACTTAAAAGCCTGGATTAAAACCCTTGCCTTTTATCCCTTCACTTTCAGTTGAATGAGGATTTGACGTTTTCTCTTGCAGTAAGTCATTTCAAAGTTCTCTATTTCAAGTCATTTTAGCACAAGAAGTATTGGACTAATAACTCTAAAGACAAAAGACCAGGCAACAAAGAGCATATAACAGATGAGAGTGGTAGGGCAGCTTTCAATCACCTAACCATGATCCAACTGGTGGTTATAAATGTGGACTTGATATAAATGCTGACTGCAACTTCAGCAACATGTTTGTCTGCAGACTGTAATGGTAGTCTCTCTCAAAAGCTATAGATGTCTGCTTTGCTGATGCACTGAGCTGAACAAACCTAGGGGTCAGTGC